TAGGATGTTCTAAGATGGCACGTCAGAGTTTTTGTTATTAGGGCTTTGGGACGTCCAGTGGAGAACGCTGCCGCTGTAGATCGAGAATACCGTCAGACTGCCGGACGGCGAAGCACGGCACTGATCAACCAGCAAACGGCCATCCGTTAAGCCCATTGTTTTTCTCCATTAATCACTGCTGTGCCGTAGTTGATAGTAAAAAACTGATTTGCTAATGTGTAACGGTACACGAACGTTACGCCACGAGTGACTAGCGGTCACTTGCACAAATGTAAGGATGGTGATTGGCAAATGGACGACGGACGTCTCCAAAGACCCGCCCTGTCTCCTCACTCGTTCCGTAAATCAATAACTCGTCATTAGTTTGTGGTATGTGCAGACAAAGCACGACAGATGAAGAACGACGATACAATGCTAAGGTCTGACATAACTTTTATGCGTCGCTCTTGCCCTCGTTTTTTCATTGGAGACACTGAGACTCACCATCTAGAGTAACTCCCACGAGCAGTTAACACGCTGCGATGACCGTAAGCGCTGTTCGTTTGGCCAAGGAGGACTGTGGCTCTCCGTCCATGTCTCCTGCTGTCTCTGGATCGATCGGACGATGAACAGAGAGCAAGTGACAAATAGAGACGCCTCCACGCCGACGATCGGCCAGACTAATCGCGCAATCATATTTGTTCACGTACAGTTCCAAGCACATTTCATCAATAACAGTGTGCGCGCGATTCACAGTGCATCAAGCACAAGCGCGGCCGTTGTGGTATTCTCACTGATTCGATTCTGCGCTTTTCCTCTCTTCCACCGTAACCTATAATGACTATCACAGATTGGTGTACTGTAGGAGGATAAGGGTAGACGACGGCGACGATGACCAGGGCGAGGCGTTAAGTGTGTGGTATGCGGAAAAATTCATGGTGCAGCGAAGTGAAGCGTCATGCACTCGTTCGCTCCTTGCTTCTTTCTGGAAGACCAATCATGATATGGAGCGATGAGCCTAAGTTCAACTTTGTCATTGAATTCAGCACACAAGGATGTGAGCTTCAAAGCTTTACATCACGTGGCCAAAATAGTGGTCATTCCTATCGGTAATGGGCCAGTTGAATTATTTCGACAGTTTTCATCATCAACCCATAACTTTAGTCGCCTGTACCTTAAAAATTAATTAGACGTAGTATAAAATAATATAATATGGAAACAGGCGACTACGTTGTTTTTGGCGAGTCGTCGGTGCGCGTGTCGGAAGCTACTTTTTGATTGGCTGTTCAAATGGCGTGTCTGGCCGCGTTTGGAATGGCTACTTGCATCGGAGGATATTATTGAAAGACAGCAGCCAATCACGTCGCGCAACGGAGTCATGTGGGCGGTCCCGTGACAGTCCTTCGTAAGCGGTAACAATGTCAACGGCGTTTGACATGCTACGTCGCCGCATTCTGGTCGTGCCTTCCGTCATTCCACGCATAGCTGCAATGTTGCGAGCGTGCGCCATGCTCATGTGAGGTTTGACCAGCAGAGATAGAAGAAGAACCCAAACAAGAGGTAAGACATCAACTTTCCTGATGTCCCCCCGTCCTTCTAATTTTTCTGTTCAATTTTCGTTTTTGCTTGAATCGTTTGCGTTTCGCCATTCTGCTTGCGACATCAGCGTACTGTTTTGGTTTGGTGGAGCTCGTTTTGTTTGTTACGTGACACGCAACGGCGTAAATCCTCGCACCAAGAGATACGTAACAAAGGGGAAATGTGCGTGCCATCGGTGGATTTTGCCATTTTAGAAACTCCCACCCTTTGCTAGGCTAACAGAGCCAGCTGTTTCTGATCTGCTGCAGATTCTGGACGCCGTTCTGTTCTGTTCAGTGCACACGGATCAGAGCGATTGGGTTTTGATCATGCTTCCAATTTGCTAAAAATCACCGCGAGTCCAAGGAACGGCGAGTAGACGATTCGATGACGATTCTTTACTACAGACTACTGAGTCACGGCGCGTAGTAGACGAGGCCTCGAGGCAGGACTCCGCCACAAAAACTGGCTCTAGACGCAGCTGTGCAAACGGTCGGTTTGTCCGTAAACAATGACAGCGACGGCGATACCCGGTCGCAGTCGCTGTCGCCACCGTCATGATCGTCGTCATCGTCGTCGTCATCGCTGTCCTCCTTAAAAATGAACAAACCACCCAACCCGAGGTTTGAGAAATAAACCGAACGTGCCCCCGGAACGTCGTCGTCGTTACTACCGTCCGCAACACTTGGCAGCCAAGCAGAACTCCAAACATTCTTTTTTGCCTTGCAGCATGCTCCACACGCAGTGCTTCTGCTCACCATCAGTTTGGCATTTTTTAGCATGTCCGGCATTT